GAAATGACGTGAAGACGTTTATTTACTATACCCCTTTTATGGAAAAAAAAAACCAAAAATAAGAACAGTAAAGGGTATACCAAAATCAATTTACTATCGCAAGTTTGGTGCCTCCGGCACACTTAACAGTGCCGCCAAAGGAACTCACAAGATTACCAGTTTTTTTTGGGCCTTCAACATCGGTACCAATATATTCAGCTTTACAGTCAGCATCTCTGGCATATCCAATTTTGGTAAAATTGAATGACAATGAAAATGAAAACGCAAATAGTGATAATGACAAAGATGGTGATAATAGTGAGGAGACAAGTTATGAACTTGGTGACGTAATTGCTCAACTTCAGGAAGATCTCTTAAAAAATGAAAAAGCATTCACTGCTTTTGAATATAACGAAAGACAAGCTGTCTATGAATATTTTATAAGACTATATGACAGCCATGGAAAGTTAAAAGCAAGTGAAATTGCAGCAGGTATAGTCTATATCAACCCAGGCCCATACAAATCTAGAAGAATTTGCTTTCTTGGTAAATTTTATTTGCACCATAAATCATTTCTGCTCTCTTATCGTGGCCAACATCAAAAATGCAAAAGATTGGTTGACGATGAGGATGTGGCACTAAAATGTAAACAATAGATAAGGAAAGAATCAGGGTTAAATGGTGTTAGTTCATTCCAATTTAAGCAGTATGTTGACTCTGCCATTTTACCTGAGCATACTGGGGGGATGAGAAAGTCAATTAGCCTAAGAACGGCTAAAAGATGGTTAAATGTCTTAGGATGTCAGTTTAAAAAATACCGGAAGGGTATGTACTTTGATGGGCATGAGCGAAGGGATGTTGTTGAATATCAGAATAGATTTTTAGAGGAAATTAAGGTTTTAGAATGACGAATGGCAACGTATGAAGGAACAAAAATGGAACCGATTCCACCAGTACTTCAAGTAAACGAGCAAGAGTTGATTTTGGTCACTCACAATGAGTGTATCTTCTATTCAAATGATAGAAAAAGAGGATCTGGGTGTACAATGGGTGGATGCCATTGCGTAAAAAAGGAAATAGAAAATCAATTATAGTGAGCGAATTTGTTTCAGAGGCATGCGGTCGATTACGACTAAATGAAGAAGAAAAAAGAACTCATCTCAATGTTCCTGCAGAAGCGCGCTGCTATCTTACACCCGGTAAAAATGAAGAAAATTTTTGAACAATTGAACATTTATTAAAACAAATTAAAGAAAAGGTGATCCCTATTTTTGAAACAAAATTCCCTGATGCAACGGCTGTCTTCGCCTTTGATAACAGTACGAATCACATAGCGTTTGCAGATGACGCCCTTATTGCACAAAGAATGAACAAAGGACCCGGCGGGAAGCAAAACATAATATGATCAACAACTTTTACTGATATCAATAGCCAACAGAAAGTGCAGAAAATAGTATTCGAGAAGGATTATCCTGACCTTAATATGAGAGGAAAGCCAAAAGGAATAAAAAGGGTGTTGGAAGAAAGGGGGCTTTTAAAAAAAGGGTTAAATTTAGATTGTCCAAAGTGTAAAAAAAAGAAGGATTCAGGCCGAATAGACTGCTGCTTGAGAAAAATTATGGCTTCTCAACCAGATTTCATCGCCCAAAAATCCGCTATTGTAGAACTAATTGAGGGTGCCGGCCATATCTGCATTTTTATCCAAAGTTTCACGGTGAACTTAACTTTATCGAAAGGTATTGGTGGGTGGCTAAAAAATATGCAAGAGATCATTGCAATTACACATGGACCGGCTTGCAAGAAACTGTTCCACGAGCGCTTGATTCGGTAGATGTTGTTACAATTAGGAAGTTTGCTCGAAAATCGTGGAGATATATGGAGTTATACCGTGCGGGATTGACGAGTAAATTGGCAGAGTATGCATGTAAAAAATTCAAGTCTCATAGGAGAATTCCTGAAAGCGAATTAGCTTTATTGTGTGCGGGATAATAGGAAAATAAGCTGTGTTTAATAAATAAAATTTAATAAAGTTTAACGTGCAATTAAAAAAAAAATAAATAAATAAATAAAATTTAATAAGTAAAATTTAATAAATAAATAAAATTTAAAAAATTTAATAAATAAATAAAATTTAAAAAATTTAATAAATAAAAAATTTAATAAATAAAAAATTTGATAAATAAAAAATTTAATAAATAAAAAATTTAATAAATTAATCGATCACAATAATTTAAAAAAAAAAATTAGTGTAATGTTTTGTTTGTAATCAGTTTATTACAGTAATCGGTTTTAGCATATGTAGAATAAAACCGGTTTCGGAATTTCGCATTTATGATATCTGTGTTACGTGATCAGATTTCATAAAAAATAGTTTTTGTGCGATTTGAGGTGGGTTTAAATTTTCAGGTCAAAATGGGACAAGTCACATGACTTATGCCTTTAGGTGTCCCGAACTATATTAGAAGTAAAGATTTTTTTAATAGGCAAAAACATATAAAATTTAGAAAATTTAAAGAAAAAATTTTATAATAAAAAATTTGAAAAAATTTTTAAACTTTTATTATTTGAAAGTTTTTTTATATTTTTAAAAAAATTTCTTAATAAAGTTAATAAAATAGATTTTAAAATAGATTTTTTACTTAGTAAATATATAGCTAAAATTAATATTCAAAATTTTATTAAAAAACTTAAATAATAAAAAATTAGTAAAAATCTTCACAGACAAGTTTGTCTATATTACAATTTAAGGAATAATACTTATGACCTTGTCTGAGTGTAAAGGAGGTAAATTTGAATTATAAATTCCCTTCATGATTTGAACAATATAAAAGTGAGATTCTACTTTCTTGCCTTTAATTAAATCATATATTTTACTAATAGCAGACCTATAACTTGCTATTATGTTATATGCTTTCCCTTGATCTAATTGTTCTTTTAAAAACTGAATTATAACTACCAAATTACAAAAAGTGAAATCTTGGTTTTATTGTTTACACCAATTACAACACATTTTGATATTTGAGAAAACTGTTTTTGATGCTTTTAAATTATATGCTACAGAGAAAAGGTTGATATCTTCTTCCTGAAGGCCCTTGTTTGATAAGCGTTTTCTAATAAACACACTATGTAAAGATTCCAAAGTCCTATTCTTCTGTTCAATTTCTGATGATTGTGAATAATTGAGTTCAGTAAAATTATAACCAGAAAATCTGCCAAAAGATGAAGTAAAGTAGAGAACTAGGGTGCTATTTGCTACAAAGAAAAGATTAGAGTTATCATCACTTTCTCTCGAATTACTTTGTTTAAAACTTTGGGTATTAATATCTAAGAAGAGTTTGTCCAAGGCTTCTATCTTTTTCACAAAAGTTGCAATATATACATAGTCAGGACTTTTCTGTCTAGAATAAGAAAACAATACTCTGTTAGACCTGTTTGCAAACAGATCTATATTGTATTGTCCCAGCAACTGATTAATCTTCTTGAACAAACTTTTCTAAATTAACTAGTCTTGGTGCTCTAACTTTAACCTGGACGCAGTATCCGCTAGCCAATTCTCCTTCTCGAGAACATAATAAGCAATTAAATTAATTGTCTCTTCAAACAATCTTTTTAAATTGTCTCTGCTATCTGATTTACATTTTTTGAAATAGTACTACCCTGATTGTTTATATATGCCACCATTATTATGTTGTCCAATTTCAATCTTACATTTATTGAGCTCAATTTTGAGAATGTTATATTAGTTGTTTGATGAAATTAAGAAGTTAGTGAAATTCATATTAATCAAATTTTAAATAAAAATAATTGCTCTGATTTTTTTACTCTTGGAATAATGGTTAATAAATTAATATATGATTAGCAAAAAAATATTTGTTTTCTGTATCATATTTTGGAATTCAAAAATTAATCAACCTGATTTTCAACTATTAAAAATAAAAGATTGGCAATTTGTATAGGAAAATCTATAGCTCATGCAATATATAATGCTTTTAATCATTTTAAAATTAATTTTCATTAATGTTTTGTATGTGTTTCAGATAATACAAATTACATGAGTAGAAAATTTGGTAGTGCGATTACTTTATTCAACAAAATAAATAAAGCTAAAGTAACTCAAATACTATGTGAACTTCATGTAGCATATATTATTATGAATAACTTTAAGAAGAAGGCATTTGAAAAATTGTCTAATATTAGTGGATTTTTACAAAAAGAGCATTCTGCAAATCTTTTATATTTAGTGTGGGATCTTCATAATAGCTATAATAAATTTGACAAAAACAAACCAATAGGTATTCATTCTGACTATATTTACAAACTATATAAAGAATGATTTCAATATTGTATAACAAAATATCAACAGCCACTTTGATCAAGATAGCTTTATGAATTGTTGTATGCTAAACAATATCTTAAACAGTATATAAAATCTGAAACTAATTTTTGCATTGTTTTTGTGTATATTTTAAAAATTTTTATATAAAATTGTGTACAACTTATATATTAATTAGAAAAAATTATACACACTAAAATAAAATTATACACATGTGTATACTGTATATATAAATTTTATATACTGATCTTGAACACAAAAATATTCATATAAAATTTACAAAGTAGTTTTTGTCTTAACTTAAAGCCCAACCTAATACACCAAATTTATATATTAAAAAATGAAAATTATTATAGAAATAGCTTTATAATCCAATTTTAAACTTACAAATTAAGTTTCTAGTTCGATTTGAAAGAGACTTTTACTAAATTTTTAACAGAATATGACTTAGAATTAAATCTTCCTCCTGGAAGACATGTATATCAAATATCAGAATTTGTAACCTATACAATAGTAAAACTTTAAAATATTATTAAGGATCTTTACTTATTTTTGAAGAAGAACTTTTAGAAAGTACTTACATACTAAATAATGATCAACTCAATAAACTTACTTTAGATATTGAGCGTAGTACTCAAAAAGCATTAAAGCTTTATCTGAAATGATTAAATTATTAGTTGTATTTGCCATTAAGCATTTGTCGCTTAGGTGAAAAATATAGAAGGAAATTTGCACAAAGTTATGCTTATATTATTTTAAAAACATCTTGGATATTAGTACCTTTATTATGAAAACTATGTTATATAAAATTTATTGAGTTAGATATTGAAAATGATAACTTTAATGACTTCAGTCTATTTATTGTATTAAAAGATTCAATATTTAATTGTGAATTTTACTAATTTATTTAAGAAATATACAAATCTTTAGTCTAGATTCCCAAATTATTTGAATTTGTTAAATACCGAATTTGGTATATTATAATTTACCAATAAATAAATAGGATTTTAAAACTCATTCTAATATGACAAGTAATCTTTAACAATCAAAATTACAATTATCAACCATACTACTTAAAGAAATCAGTTGTAACTCTATAAATCTAATCAAACTAAGAACTGAAAAATGTTAGCAGCAACTAGAATCTACATACAAACAAAATTTGAACAAGAAAATTTCAACGATGTTGAATATGAAAAAGAGCGAACATTTTATTTAAAAATCTATTTGACAAAAAATAGATTTAAATTTTATTTATTATATTATTATGTTATTGCTATATTATATTGCTACTGTATTATATTTGTAACATATTATATTCTTATGATAATTACAGTATTAAATATACAATCCAAATTTGAATAGAATTTAATTGCTATTTGTGTAATGTAAAAAATCTGTAATATGAAAAATTCTATAGCTATCTAATATAGTTTTGATTTCTTAGTTAATGTTTTACCCTAATACTATACCCAGGTCTACAATATAGAATAAAATTTTGGTAAAATGTAAAAAGACCTGGGGTATACAATAGTAAAAAAACAAAAAAATATTATAAAAATAGAATAAACCTTCCAATTATTAATCCCACACCTATACAAAAGACCTGCAGATTTAATTATAAGTTTTAAAATTAGTGAAATATAATAGATTTGGGTTTGTATTTGGCTATATACAGTGCTTTAAAGGTATAAGCATTATTGGAGAATAAAATAATATTAATTTATTTTAATAAAATGAGAAATCATGCAATATTTAAATAACCAAAATAACCTCTTTGAAGTAAAAAGTATATAACTTTTAATGTCTGAGCTAGTTTTGGCAGAAACAAACACTTTCAGAAATTGTTCAAACAAATTATGTCTGAGTAAATCAAAGCAATTACAAAATTGTTTATAACTTAGCATTTTACCTATTAACTACCTTCTGTATACTAACAAAAGTTTTTTTTGCAAATTTTTTGGTTTTATTAAATCTTTCTAATAGCAAAATTAAACTTTAATTTTATATTGCTATAGCTAAATTTTTTAGATTAGTAATGCTAGAAGAGTTAAAATAATTATATTATTTGTGTGGGTTTACTAATTTTTCCCACACTCTACTATTGAAGTATCATAAATATTTACTAATAATATAGATACTCTGAAATGTGTATAATTAGCAGAACCAATTAGAAGTATAGAAAGAAATTAGTAAACTTAATTTTTGTTTAATTGTGCTAGAAACAAAAAAATATATCTATCACTTTGATTGATATAAATAAAAATATATAATAGTAATAAGAGTAGCTGCATGATGTAGTTATGCTTAAACTAGAAATGTAGTATTTAAGTTTTCTAGCAGTTTTTTTTTTAAAAAAAAAATAAAATTTATTTACTATATTTTATTATTATTATTATTATTTTGGTAGAAAACTGTTCTTGGTCAAATTGATGAAATTTTTTTTTTTTTTAAGCTTGAGAATATCTTTCTTTGCATTGTTACCAAAATTCTACTAATAACAAATTCTTTAAAGTTCTTTTTATCTTAGTTTAGGGTATGTTAGATTAGGATTTAGATAGTTATATAAAATCACTCAAAAAAACTTTTTGTTAATACACAAAAGGTAATTTAAGAATAAAGTTTAAATATATATTATTTTCAACTTACATATTAATACCAAATTAAGCATATCGAAAATAGTAGATTAAGGTTATTAAGAACACTTTTTTAAATTGTATATTTTCTTAATGAAATTTTATAAAAAAAAATTTTCTAATTTTGAAGATATAATTATATATAAAATTTTATGGATTATTTAGTAATAAGGTAAGAGTGCTGATATTTATTAGGTAATATTTTAGGAGGTGGAGGTTAAGCAAAATCTTACCTCATATAAAACAATTATAGCCAATTAAATTTAGCTAAATATCTTACCTAGAAGGAGAAGGTAAGCCTCTATAGTAAATAGATATTAGGTAATAAATGTTAGCACCCTAACAAGACCCCAAAATATATATATAGAGGTAAGGTTTTAGTTTGCTTATTTTTGATCTTTTTTATGCAGATTATTTCTATTTATAGTAATTAGTTTGCTTATTTTTGACTTTTTTTTTGCAGATCCTTTTAAATTTAGTAATTTTTATAAAACCTTACCCCTCCATATATATTTTGGGATCCTACCCTAACTATATATTAATATTAAAATTATTAGTTAGTTTATATACACTTCCTTGACAATGATTACCAGAATATTAATAATTACAATAATTTAACCAATTTGATGATGATTGTAGCTATATATAAATTATAATTTTTTTTATACTAATTGGTCTTTGCTTAATAGGCAATATTATAACAATTAGTATATAATTTAAAAATTTTAGAAAATTTAATAAATTTTTTAGTAGTTATTTTTAGCATTTTATATCTAAGTAAACAAAGAATAAAAAAAATAAATAAAACTTTTTATGTAGTAACATATTCTTGAACTGTATTATAAATATATATATATATATTTTTTTTATATTCGGCAGTCTTGCCTTTACTTTATTAGGCTTTGTAATAATTATTTAAACTATTAAAATTTTCTGAAGAGTTATTCTCTCCAGTACCTAAATTAC